TTAATATGGATTTTTTTCGACCATTCTATATAAATGAGAATAAGCATGGCCATTTTGTTACGTTGTATACGTAGTTAATTGAAACAGAAGTCAGTAACTATTAGCGTCGGGTATCTTGAGCTCAACCAAATTTGCACTTTTGGAGAAAAAAATTGCAGACCCAATTCACATATGCATCGTGCATACTAGAGCAATAGTTCCCAAACTTTTCGGTCCTGCGAACCACGTTGGTCTTCAGTTTTCATTTCGAGTACTACCAGTACTTAAAAAATATTATTGGTTAAAGGTTATGTTCTCTTTATTCTTTTATTAGAATTTTCATGTTAGTACTGAACAATTATAATTTATTTAAAAAAAATTAAGGTCTAATTGAAACGATGCTGCTTGTTTTGTTCCAGAGAGTATGTCTTATTCTGAATGGATGTTATTTTTAACTATAAATCTCTGTAGACTTCCTGTTCCTGTATTTGATTTTAAAGTTAACGAATTCCTTAGTACAACGTCCTCCAGGAATTATTAACACATTGTTCAAAAACATGCGAATAAAGCTTCACAAATTAGTTAGAGCTTTTGCATACCACCAGTTGGAAACCACTCCATCTGTGGAAGCGAGTGTAAGAAATACTTAAAATGTTTGTGATAATCATTAAGACAGTGGCCCGAGTCTCTTCCTTGATTCCCGAACTTCAAACTCGCTGAGGAGACCCATCCCGACAACAAATTGTGTTGTTTTACTGCAATGTGGCATTTAAAATACGGAAGTCGAAAAAATTACTTACGCCTTTGGAAGAGAGCAAAGAAGCGGGATCTATTGCAGTGTATGTCTGAAGCTTGTGATCATTCTGTGAAGTGTGTTGCCTTGGGTCACTACACATATGCACACAACTGATTCTTTTCACCGATATAAACTCTTCACTGACTTTTGTGAATATGGAATTAATAACAAAATCTAGACATTTTTCTGAAAACGCTCCTGTAATGAGCTTCAGTTTTTTAGATCTATTAATTGAGATCGGTCCGAGAACTCGGCGTATACTAAGGTAATGTAACATTTTTATCCACTGCGAGAGAGAAAGCTTAACTTAATTGTCACGCACAACGACAAAACGCGAAGTTTTAACTTGTATAAATTAGGGTTGATAAAGCGACAGCTCTAAATCTGCACCGTTGAGAGCCTTCATGTGATGGCACAGGAATGGGTGGACAAATGACTACTACAACGGTGTTCGGCGGGAGGCCTACCCTGCGTCCGGGAAGTTCAGCGACCCTCATCGCCAGGGAGGAATAGGGCGCATTAGCACATTTACTTCCAATATTACGCAGAGAATTGTTGTAATACAACGGGAAGAAAAAGAAATTATCTTCCACCATCATAATTTATTAATTAACTATTAGTCAGTTACAGATTTAAACAGACAAACATGTTTCGTGGTATTTTACCTCATCTTCAGTGTCTCCAACAGGATAGTAAAAACAACTGTAGAATATAAAACATAAAATTGTAAAACTAATAAAGAACACAAACACTATTAAAAAACTTACAAACTATTATTATGTACCCAAGTAACATGGCCAACATGATTTGTGGTGTGTTAGTTTTACAATTTTATGTTTCAATTTTCCTTAATATCCTGTTGGAGGCACTGAAGACGAGGTAAAATACTTCACAACATGTTTGTCTGTGTAATGCTGAAACTGACTAATAGTTAATAAATTCTGTTTGTGGAAGGTCATTTCTTTTTCCTCCCGTTGTATTACAATTATGGAGTTTCACAATATTTCTGCGGAAACCGCCGAGTTTATTACGCAGAGCAGTTTCATTTTGTTCCGTGTCGAGTTCCAAACTTGTTTATTAATTCCGTTTGGACAAGATTTGCAATACATCCAGAAAGGGCAATGGAATTGAAGCATGTTACTTCTATAATATCCCATTTTGTCAAGAAATGGACGCACTGTCTGTATCTCCGAGATAGAGGTTGGAAATTCATTAAAAATATTTTTAAAAGAAACCGCACATCTTGAAGGAAACAATTGTTGTGCTCCTTAATTAACCTGAGAAAAACGTCAGGCAGTCTTTGGTCGTTATTTAAGGAAGTTTGATGCAATAATTTTTCAGTCTTTTTTTTTTTTTTCTCCGAGAAATCTCGACATATGTTGCTTCCGGGCGCACGGTTCGAATCGTCGTCGCTGTGCGGACACGCGCGCTGCTGTTGCTCTGCGTTGAGAGGTTGGGGAGGGGTGAGGTCGGCAACGGAAACCGAGGACAGCATCGGCACGAGTTTTTTTGCTTCAGGAATCCTCTAGTGCGGGGCCACCGCGCCGAGCCTTATTGCGGCTAATACCCCCCCTTTCAGCCAACAGCACAGCTACAAAGCGTCTCGAACACTTCGGTGAAGGTGGCTCGAAAAAAAAAATCGATGTTTTGTTTTCGATTTTTTTTACAGATCGATATATTTTTCCAGAAACATGAGTATTTAAAAAAGTTTATATTTTTCGATGATTTTGTACGGGGTAATGTCGTTTAACTGCATTTTATAGAAAATTGATTAGGAAATTAAAGTAAAATAGTGTTTTAAGGCCGAATATACTTTAAACTAATATTTATGTGTTATATTTGATACTGGACGTTTTACTTTGATGATTTATAACTGAATGTGAGTAAATGGAATAATAGCAAACACGATGTCCTTTATTTTTTAATTATTTCTTCAGATTTGATAAACATTAATATTAACATTATCACTTATACGTAACAAAATAAAATATATCTGTATTTCATGTAAGTACTCTGATTAAAAATGGAAAAAGGATGGGAAAATACCCACATTACATACCGACCCCCCTTTATTACATGTAAAACATCGATGTTTTCATTGGCATCGAAAACATTTTTGGTGATTATCGAAATATCGATGTTTTGATAGAATTTGCCATCACTACTCAGGACATAAATTGATGTCAGTCCTGTGTCTGTGTCCGCGAGGTCGTAGGGTTGCGTCCCGACGGTGGCAGGATTTCCGACACTAGCTACATAGCTAGGTCGTAATCAGCGTTCGGCTGCTCTGATGAGAAATTTTCCGAAGTTTCTCTGATCAACTCCAGGCGAATGCCGGAGCAGTACCCTAATGAACGGGCCATGGACCGCGTGCGATTTTTCCTTCCTCTTCCTTGTCTTATCCTCACTCCTTACATATACACACACACACTTACATGCACTACACTACCACACATGCCGGGAGATCGGTCGGGAGCTTAGAGCTTGTCCCGGCTGGGGCGGTGCACCGTTGATGGGAGATACCTGATTGAGGAAAACCCTTCTACCCGATGTGTAGGTCGGCGCCGGATTTCACCACCCAGCGGGAGAAGCTCGCCGCCACCTCCCGAGCCAGAAATATGCACTACACTTACGGACGAATAATATTGGCTGTTGACGCACCTGAAATCACTAATCAATCAAAATCGTCTCGAACAGAAGAGCAGTGTGTTTGCGCGCCCGTGCCCGGACGCAGCGAAGAATCGTAGGCTGTTGTTGTTTTCTTCGCAAAGGCAACTTTGTCGCTGCACGTAGTAAGTGACCTGTCGTCATCGCGTGTTGCAGCGCTGCTGGAGCGGCAGCTGGAGCGCAAGACGCGGCTGCAGCGGGAGCTGCGGCGCGAGCGGGAGAAGCTGCGCGCCATGCAGCGCGACGTGCGCGGCATGGAGAAGGACCTGGCGCAGCGGCAGCTGCGCAAGCGCTCGCCCCACGCCGCCCTCCCGCACCTCTCCACGGTGAGCAACCTTCGTACGTCGTGCGCATGCGCTTGCTTAACGTTTTTCCTAGCCCAAAAGTCTTTTTCTATTTTTTTTTAAATTTATTTATTTAAATATCACTTACTCTTTTTTAAATTAAAATTTAAAGGTTTTATTATTTAATTATTTCAAATAATTCAACAAAACTTATAATTTTATGTATAGTCCGTGTCATGTTATACTATGCGTAATGGTTTTTGTAGTACAGAAAACAACACAAATGCATAATAAAGTAAACCAACGGTAAAATAAAAATTTTTATTTTCTAGTATTGTCAGTACCATCACAACAACCTCACACAAATACAAAGATTACACAAGTCCTAAATACATTTTCACAAGTGTTTTATCTTCTGTTGGAAAGAAAGTAAAAAACGCAAACTGTGATAAGCTGTTTCCTATCAATGAACACTCACAAATACATAAATTCAATGAAAACATGAAACATTTCAGAGATAATTCTTTATTTTAACCAAGTATGCAAAATATTCTCCTATAATTACTTCAATATGCCCCAGTCGAAAAAATCGGTCAAACGTGCACAAATATGCACTAATATATTTATCTATGTAGCATCCAATTCTCACCAAATGTCAGGAAATTTCACTTTACCTGCCCTGAAGCAACAGACAAAAATATACAAAATCATAGAAATCCGCCCCCTAGTATTAACTATAGCTTTTGGTGCAAAAGCAGTACATGTTTCACTATAATGTTCTTATCAAACTAGTCAAAACATCTCCAATTTTTATTTTTTTATTTTATTTTTATTTTACATCAAAAAGATTAAAAACTGTGTGTGACATGCTATGAGGAGAAATGTATTCTGTGCTAGGTTTCTTAGTTCTGTGGTCCTTACCCTAAACTTTATAGAAGTTGAATTCTGAATACAAATGCAATAAGCTTTTTTAGCAAAAATTGATAAGAAAATATTTCCTCCCATGTAACAAATTTATTTTCAAAAGCAAATTGGCTGTAGATTTGTGATCTTATCTCTCATCAAGGAATATATTGCGACACCATGGAGAACAATAATTTGCATAGCCATATTTTCGTTACTAACTAAAGTATTTTCATTTCTAACCATTTAATTCAAATGTCACATCTTTCTATAATTCTCCAATTCTTTCTCTTATTATTAACTCTATAATTATTTCATTTCAGGCAATAGCACTTAAAATGTCATTTGAAAATAAGAAAATGTATTGCTGTATTTTGATTTGATATTACATTACAAATAACTTTTCAGCCTTATAAAGATTGTGAGAGCTTCCAAACATTGCATTATAATAGGAAAAAAAAATTTTTTTATCACTTTTTAGTAGAATAATCTTTTTCTTTTTATCATTTGCAAGTACATTAGTTTTTGTATGTAAAATAAATTTGAAATCATCATTTGTTTTCTTTCCTGAATTAGTAATTTGATTGCAGTTGCAGAAAGTGCAGAGGTTGCGACAAGAGATCCATCTTCTCACTGAAGAATGCAAGAAGATGACCATGGAAGTGGACATGAGCTCTGACTCCAGACGTAAAGTTCTTTCTAAATTCTTTTAACTTGTACTTTTAATTGTAAGTTAATTGTAATTGTAACATTGCTGAAATGAAATTCTTTCTTTCTTAATTTATTTATTTGACAACAAAAAACCATTACAAGACTGCAAATGGGAGAAGAAGTACAGTCTGTGCAGATTTTCTTCAGCTTTGGAATCTATACCTCTTTTCTCTGAATGTAATATTATTTTACATGTGGGTTTTAAATAGGATAAGTATATTTTAAATATTGTTACAAAATATGATTTTCAGTGTTTTCCTTAAAAGTAAATGTATTATTATTTGCCTCCTCAAGCAAAATCTTTTTGCTATGAACATTTCAAATTCCAATAATGTTGATTTAGTTGTAAGTTTTTGTTTCATTTTATTTTTCACTTGACTTGTGGTAATTTGACTAAGGACATCACAATTTATGAAGTAAGTAGTAGTACTGCGAGTATTTTACACCATTAGGCGTCCCTTGCATCCTGGTTTCCATTTAAGTTTGTCACTGCAGTCTTCTGCAGTTAATTCTCTTCTCGCCAGCGCATTCTCCACTCCTTCCTTCCATGTACTTGTGGGTCTTCCTCGTCTTCAATATGACGTTGGTTGCCAATTCCAGAGCTTTAGGGGTCATTGTTCTTCACACATCCTGTGTCAGTGACCATTCCGTTTAAGCCTTTTAATTTCAATGGTATTGATAATATTGAAACTCTGTTCTGCAGCTTCTTCTAATTTCATTGTTTCTTACTTTGTCCAACAATGTGAATACACAGCTTCTTTGCCAATAGTCCATTTCTATTGTTGTAAGTTTATTTTCATTACCTTTTGATATTTCTCAAACTTCATATGTGGCTATTCTCTCTACAATAGTCTTATATAACCTTCTCTTCTCATTCTTCTTCAGAGTTTGATTCCATATTAAGGGATGCTATTTCCTATTTGCTATTCTACTCTGATTATTTTGTGTACTATTCCCATTTGCTGCTAATTAAGTTCCTAGATAGGTAAATTTCTGGCAGGATTTCAATTCTGGTTTGTTGTGTACACACAGAATCTTGGCTTCTTTCACACCCAGATATTCAGTTCTTTTATAATTTATTTCAAGCCCTTAATTTAAGTACTCTTCATGAAGTTTACACAACATCTACAAAACATCTTCTTCCTAAGCGAAGAAGACTTGGTTGTCTGCATAATTAAGAGAATAGTGCATGGAATTGTCAATTTGTGTACATAGATGCAACATTTTCTCCTCCAGTTTTTTAAAAGCTTCATTTAAATGTAATTTAAACAGTAGAAGCTACGTTATACCCTTGCTGTAAGCCTTTATTTACAGAAAATGGTTTGGAAATGTTTCTTTCAATTTTTACTTTACTTACGTTACTACACTTACATCTGCTGCATAGATCTTTGACAGCTTTCAGTAAGTACATCTTGTTTCTCCAAGGCCACCCAGAGTTCCTTTAATGGAACAATGTTATAGGCTATAGAATACCAGATGAGTATCTAAATTATGGGTAAGCCATTTGTCTGTCACTAATGTGGTACTAAAAATATTATCAGTACCCGAGTGTCCAGTTCTAAAGCTGCTCTGTTCTTGTACATCTATTAGATCCATTTGAAGGTGAAATTTCAAGAAAATGTTTGCAGTTAATACTTCTGCCCGATATGTTACATAGATTTTACTTTTTTTCCTAAAAATAAAACAAAATTAATCAAATCAAAGTATACTTATTTCTAAGATGCTAGTTCACATTTCAGTGAAAAGCTTTTACATTTTGGAGTTCACTCAGCAGTTCCTATGGTATTGAAAACAATGGTACTTATAAAATGACATTTTTGCTTTAAGCTGTATACATCATATTAGAAGTTCAACTTCGTTTTCTACAAAGGTGTAAAATTCTATAGAAGTTTTATTTTGTAGTTTCTAAACTTCATAACATTGCAGGGTTGCCAATAAGAAAATTTAAACTGTATATTTCTTTGTTGATATTCTGTACTGTAACAAATGTCTATTTTTATTTTAAATTCTGAAATGTTATTTCCAATCTTCAAATTCCATTGTCAGATTCTGATCATTGCTTTGCTTTCAGTTCCCTTAGGGGAAACAGATGAAGAGTTCTACCAGAACATTTACACTGGTCAGCAAGGCAGCGTAGCAGCACATTCACAAAGAGTTCCCCCTCGGCATCGTAAGTAACAATTTTTTCTATCTTCTTTGTTTTTTTACTAGAGTATTTTATTTTTTGTAGATTATAGTAGATTATTGGGCTGCGCAGGAGGCTTGTAGTTTGTATGTGAATAACTTCTACCAAAAGATTGGAGAAATTTCATTATGGGGTGCATTGAATTTTTTATTCTGGTATTAGGTATACAATGTTTGCTAACTTCTGAACTGAGGCTAAATGCTAAATTCTGTTTGCTTAATTCACAGATTTTCCACGAATATTTTCATTGGTTCTTTCTTTACTGATTCAGTTTAGTGTACAATTTTTATTCGGTGGTTTGGTTGTGACTACAATTGGGTCTTAAAAAGACAATGGAAATTTGGTAGAGAAACATTTTTACATAATGTAGGTCATTTTCAATATGTTGTTTGTTCCAATTACATATTATCTTTCATTCTCTTTTGTATTTGTTTTCTTTCTTTTTGCATTTTAACTTTACTATTGAGGAAAGTTGGCTAAAGACAATGGTGATGTTGCAGCAAGTGAACTTCCACATCAGAGCCCCCGCCAGCCACCCCCGCGACCTCCTCCTCCAGAGAGGGACCCGCGCGAGGGACAGTCGTGGACATGCACCGAGTGTACATTCCGCAATTACTGGGAGTTGGAGTACTGTGAGCAGTGTGAGATGCCTCGGCTGATGCTAGGTACAGGGCCGCGGCCAGCACCAGGGGCAGGTTGCTACTGCCACCCTCCTGGCAAGCAGCTGTCACCCAGTGTGCTCTCCTACCCTGCGATCCTCTCCACCTCGCAGCTGCAATGAGTTTGTGTTGTGGTCGTGTGATTTGAAAGACTAGCGATAACAGGCTTTGATTCAAAGTGACTGGGACTGGTATTTCAACAGTGTTGAAAAGTGTTGAAATGGAATAAAGAGAGTATTGTGGAAATTGAATTTAAGAAATAATACATTTGCAGCACTTTTGGACCTAAAATTAAAGTTTATGTGCTGTGCATTTAAAAACACTTTTCAACACATATTTGACTGAAGCAGTGAAAACAAATGGCGAAGTGGAAACATAATTTCATTTATTGTGTTAACCAGGGTCTATTACCTTCTGAGGAAGACACAAAAGTCAGTGTGATCAGAATGTTTATAATGTTACCATTGATACCAATGCTGTGGTCTTACAGCCAGACTGAAGGGCCTACAGATCATGTCTACAGTTTGTCTTTTCAATTGTTCCTCTTTTGTTTTCATCCAACAAAATAGAACAATATTCTGAAATTATTTTGTTGCATTAAGTGCTTTAAATTTGCTTTTAAATAAATATAATATTTTAATTAATTAATCAGCAAATGTTTATTGACAGTACTTTTACACACTAGTCATTATATTTTATAGAAAATTATTTATTTTTATCCTAAAAACACTAAATTTTCTTCAATAATAGAAATAGACCCTGTTGTTAACATGTTTCCATTAAATTTCCAGATGTTCATGCTCACATAACTGCCTGCAGCTTTTTGATTTCATTTGCATTAAGATAACTCATTATCATTTTATTTTGCGATTCTTCCTCCAGTGGAAGTAGGCCTACTTTGGTATCAGATTTAAATCAGTGGAAATGAAATTAGAATATTTTGTATATAATTGAAGGGTTAAAGGATGTTTTTTATATTGTAGATTAGATTGTAATATATTTATAGCTCTTTAGGATTCTGCTCAATGTGTTTCGTTATGTAGATAAATTTACAATTTTATACACACAGTGCCCTTAATATGTTATGTAGGTAAAGTGATACTGAACCATGCTTAATGTGTGTGATTTTTACACTTGTGTTATTTAAGATCAAGCAGGGGCATATTAGTGCACATAAGACTGAGTTATGTTAATGCTAATAAGTCATTAATTGTGTACATAAAGAAGAAATAAAATGTTATGCATGTTGAATAAAGAGAAATTGTTCATTCTTACTAACCTGAGAAATTTCTGTGCTCCTGTATCTCCCAGTTTTATTTTTACCTCCTTTATTTTGTTTTCATTAACCAAAAGCATGTTGAAAAAGTGTGTAGGAATAGCACTATTTTAATATAAATGTGCTAAGAAAGAAAAATACATCTACACAAGTTTTGATTGTTTTGTACAAGATGTGTCTGTAAATCATTACATTTGTGCATTTTGTAAGCTGCTATGTGTGAATACTCGGCAAATTCCACAATAACCTTCTAACCTTGACTTGCTGTAATGTGAAAATGGAAAGTGCTGTAAAAGGTGTGTATTTTAATTCCCCATAAGTTTTCAAATTTTTTTGTCTTCTAATTTCCAAGGAAGTGCAAAAGTACATTTTTATTTATACTGTAACCATTAGATTTCATATTTGAACTTTCATTCTACTAATTGATTTTGAATAAGTTTGATATTTTTGTATTCTATTCAAGAAAAAAGTGAATTCTTTTACAGATTATTAACTTTTTTTTCTTCTATTTCTAGGAGGTGAAACTCAGGATATTCACATCCATGTCACTCATCACAACTTTCCAATAAGAAGTAAGTGCTTTTTTCTTCAATTTCTATTGGTGTGCTTGTTTTTATGACTGATGGTGTTTTGATTATGACTGATTTCTCAATGTTAGCTGTTTCAAGACCCATTACTTCAAATCATCCATGTCAATAAATCTAAAAACAATTGATCTTCAATTTATGTCATTGAAAGCATGCAAAAATTTCATAAAACTGAAAATTTAGATGATTCTTTGATAAATTTAGTATGTAGTGATGATTGTTCTTGTTCCTTAGAACATTTCAACCTTCGAATGCAGTATAGAGCTTCAAGGAACCCTTTGCATCTCTTTCACTGTGCGTTGATTTTATTACAGTGGTGTAGGGTGTTTGGACAATCTCCGGTTTTTAGTAGAATGGAATGGATTAATTCTTTCTCCCCTCTTCCTCCAGCTTCCCTTCCTCTAAATAATCTTAAGGAGAAGTTTTGTGTCTTCCAGTAATATATACATATTTTTATTTCTATACCTTTCTCTATGTAGCAAATATTCAACTATGTGCTTAGAAATCCTAACTCTTAATTGTATTAAGAAGAAATATGATGTGATCCTTAAAAGTCCAATGGTGCAAGTAATCTCCCTAAATTTAATAGTAATAGCAATGTCAAGAATTAATAGCAGTAACAAGAATAATAACAAATGTAAGCAGATTGTCCATATAAAATGTAGAATAGAAGCTGCTTGTAGGCAAGAGAGTTCTTTCCAGAAGAGTAAATGTGGCTAACAAAACCCTTAATGTAATTTACAAAATGTGTTAACCAAGGTATTTTGTTGTGGCCTGAGGAAACTTCGGCCTTGAGATGGGCCTGTATGCTTAGGCTTTCGTATATAAAGATTGCTGTGGCTCTCTAATTATGAAGAGAAAATGAGCAAATTCATCTACATTTTTGATGCTTGCAGCATATATTTAAAGCAACTGGACTATTAATTCAGAGATTTCCTAAAATATAAGTCCCTAATCTACTTTATGTCTCTGTTATCAACGGTTTTATTGGTATTAAGCCAGTACGTCACAAATTTGATTTTATTAATTTATTTTTTAATGAACATCTTATTTAGAGATGTTTCTCTGTTTCTTTCCAGTTGAATTGAAAAGACAGTTCCTACTTTCTGGGTTTGCCCAACTCCCTTCCCAGATGCCATTATTGGCACTTAAGGGACCAACCTGAGTCTCTCATGGTCACTTCTGCTCCCCTGGGAAACTTTCTCAGCGAGGAGTCCTCCCATGCTTCTTGGCCTTTAGGACCATGTTGATCCTGTGTCAATACAGACTGCTCACAGTTAACTTCATTAGCATTAGGTGGCGTGCATCAACACAATACTCATGTGACACAAGCCTTACAATTATGCCTGAGGAAGCAATATTCCCATCTTGGTGCTTGTCCCTTTGATGACCATTTATGTTCGTGTTGAGAGCCAGTTCCTTATTGTTGCGTACAGATCGATCCACACAATTCACAAACACAGTCACTGATCACAGTAAGAGAGTAGGGTGTATGGAGATGATACAAAGTACAACAAAATCTGCCTAAACCGGAATCGATCAGGACAAAAAATTATTCCAGTTCAGGGAGGTTAAAGTTTTATGCATGGTTGTCCATATATGATACTCGTTATATTGATATTTCTGTCCAGAAACTAGTAACATGACTTTATTATTATTATTATTATTATTATTATTATTATTATTATTATTATTATTATTATTATTATTATTATAAAGATATACTAACATACAACTTATTTATGGAAGAAATCATCAATAAACCTAAAAATTTCTGACAATTAACAGGAAAAACTTAACAACTTCTACTCTGAAATAATGTTATTTTTTCCAAAATTCATCTAGTGTTTGATTTATGGTTTTCTCTCTTATTAACACCTTTTTAATTGTTTTATGATGTTGAAAAATTTTAATATTTAAGTTTTATGATTTTTTCCAACCATTGCTAAACTGGTTGTGAAACTTATAAAAACTCACCACCTCATTGGCAAGTGGCTGCACCCGGACTTCTTGCAGACTCTTTCAGCACATAATGCGTTACAGCCTAGAGTTCTAGGTCTTTCTGATACCTTCGCATGACCTTGACCAATGTAGCTCTTGTCAAGGGGTTACAATTGTCAATGCGAAGTCAGGAGATGTGTGAATACAAGCCAACACTTTGCCTTCTCAATGCTCAGAGAGAGGAAATTTCCCTACCACTAAGCCTTGAGAGACGCATAACCCCGAGATTGAATTCTAGGCTAACAGTTGAAGATCCTTTCCTTCACTGTGCAGCTGCCATGGCTGGAAGTCATATCACACGGACAGAGATTTACAACAGACTTGCAGGTGCATTTATTCCATTAAGAGTATGTCGGTCTCTCTCTGCCAACTGCATTAAATTCACAAAAATTCTGTTTTATTAAGGACTTTTTCCCCTGCAGGACATGAAAACCCTTTCTGTATCCATGTTGGACAGATTCCGTTTGATGGTGTGTAAAATACCATTTGACTTCATGGGCTGGAGAAATTTTCTGGTTAAGGCAGGTTTCCAGCTTGTAAAGGTTCCAGTTTAGATTTTCTGTATTAGGCATAAACCTGGCACCACAAATCCAACTGAATGACCAGGGAGTTTGGCCAACCCTGATAAGACAAGTACTTATCTCGCATGGAAGCTCTTCTACCTTTCTCTTTACATCATCCTTTCCATCATACTCTCCTTACATCAGTTACATGGAAAATATCATAAATAAATTGTATGAAAAAGTTCTTAGAAAAGCAAATGTGAACTAGTTTTGTATGTTACATGAATAGTTTCAGGCTTAATAATTATTGTTAATGAATCCTTGCCTTAATGCTATAAAATCTGAACTTCCCAATATAAAATACGAATTGAAGGTTACTGTGAAGCCATTTTCAATAGTTTCTATACAAAATAGAAGGATCTTGTATACCTTGAGAACAGCCTTTTTGGTGTCATTTGTCTGCATTAAGTAAATTGTTTCCATGCAAAAGAAAGAAAGGAAAATTAGAAGTAATGGTTATAAATACTCTCAAGTATGATGTTTCAACAAACAACAAAAATTGAATGGAATCTTGTCCTTCACAAACACTCAATAAGTGAATCATGCCAACCTTTGAGATTTAAATAAGATGTCCTCTCTAAGAAGCAACAATATATTGAATATACCTAAATATAGAATTTTAATTTTCTTCAAAAATGGAAATATTATGAATGATAGTTACAGCATATTTCATTCTTCCCTGTTGAGTATTATTTGACAAAAACTCCATTTGGGTATTGTGATCTGTTTAGACATTTTTGGGAGTGGTTGGCAGGGGGACAAAATTCAAAATGGAGAAAAACAAAACCAAATAAACAAATGATAATAATAATAATAATAATAATAATAATAATAATAATAATAATAATAATAATGATAATGATAATAATAATAATAATAATAATAATAATAATAATAATAATAATAATAATAATAATAATAATAATAATATAATTATTTTCTGAAAAATTAGTTATTCAGATGATTTTGATTCAGGAAATTTGGAAACAAATGGCAGTTTACATTTAGAAGAGAAAAATTGATTATTGCATTAAAAAAGAAATCATGACATTCCCACTAATAATGTAACTGAAAATGAAAAAAGAAAAGAATCAACATGCGAATTACAGTAAAAAGCTTGTGCTGACTGGACTGAGGTGTCTTGGTACCTTGTTGACCTCAGGTGTAAGAGAATAATGGTATTTGGGAAAGGTATGAAGACAGTACCTAAAACAAATAATAATAATAAAAAAAAACAGAACGATAATTTACTGATCCCATACTTTTTTTTGGACCATGGGAAATACATTCCATGTATACATACACACGCACATCATTCTGTGCTTGTTATGATACAGCTCTTCCTATTGAAATAAAAGGTGGGTTATCACCTTGAAGTTTCAGTGCTGGATTGTGAAAATATTTTGAAAGGGGAACAAATAATTATACCTCATTCAATTTTTAAACAAAAAATGTAAAAAATGTTTGGCTTGAAATAAACAATGTTTATTCATAATACAAGTACTTGTTCAGGATGGGAATCCAGTAATATGAATGAATAAATTGAATAAAATTAGATAAAATTGATTGAGATGAGCTCCTCCCTGATTTACCATAAAGATAGCTATAATAGTGTCAAAGTGAGCACTTCATAGGTTTTGTTCCTGTCAACATGCATATAAATTATCCAGGAATTGGCAACTGTTATAATTATTCTGTTAAAAACGGACCTGTATCATTTTCTCCCACATGCCAATGGTATACATCCTTTTTATTTATTTTTTTATTTAAGGTTGTTTTTTAACTACAATGTCATGTAGTGACCAATTTGATTGTTTACATTGTGGTAACTGTAGGGCAGAGGGACCCAACCCATAAGGACAACATGAGCACACACAAACCTCCATGCTCAAGGTGGGATTCGAACCTGTGACCCATCAAGCCGAGGCAGCTGACAGCCCTACAGCCATACAGCCTTAGTGACCTCGACTATCCAAGCTGGCCCTCGTTACTTTATTTTTAGACCTTGTGGTATCAAAATTTGTGACTGTAGTTAATAATTCACCATTACACCAAACTAAGTATTTTCTCATTCTTGTATTGAATTTCTAATATTTCTGCAACATCTTTCACATCAATTAATCCAATTGTTTCATCTGGATGTTCATCTGCATCTATGAGTATATTGAAGATGGGTGGATCTACTTGCTTATCATTATCACTTCACTCTTCTGCAAAGTCAGTTTCATTTTGTTGCTCTGAATGTCAATTAGATTAAAGGCCATCATGACATGTCACAGAAAACATGTCAAATTCAAGAACCAAAGATCTCTATTTCTGTTCAATTGAGGAGCCTCACCATTATATTACCATGCCCCAGCATCCTCGTTTGAAGTTTCCTCATCAGTCAATCAAGAAAGACAAAGAATGTGGTCCCTATTGTTGAGTCACTCAGTAGCAATTGCCCGACAGAGAGCACACAAAATAACAATACTTAGCTCCAAAAAATAATATTTAAGAATTTATTAGGTGGTGTAATGTGGTAATAAGCAAAACTCTGAAATTGTTGTTCTGAAATCCATCAAAAAATTAAAAACTATGAACATCATATCACACGTAGCCATCTAAGTCAACAAGTAAATATCCTTCATAGTTTTTTAAACACAAGAAATAAGCATCCTTCCAAATATGCTGGGCTTTTATGGTTTAGTATGAATAATTTTTAAAACACATTTGCAATTGTAGGAAATAATACTCTGGGTTACTGGCTGCCGAAAGAACTACATTATAATAATGATTATTTGCAAATGAAAGAAAATCTTAAGAACTATCCCCTCTGATAAAAGAATGAAGCACAGGGACTTATGGGCTATTCCTGTAAATAAACATAACCCCGTTTTTAAGATTTGAAAACTGTTTTAACCCTCATTAACATAATTTTTCATCACAATTACATTAGTAAATTATACCTCAAGTCAGGGTGAATATTATTTTTTGAAGGAAGGGATATGTTTGGTGAATACATAGGTGAAAGCAATGTTGCAAATTTTAACTTTCCGACATGTATTTATTTATTTGTTTAGAAAACTGCAATAACTATGTATGGATATCTTAATTACAAGTTTTAAGCAACGAAATTTTGCCCTGTTTGTTTAGATCATGGGCATATCAATAAAATTTTCAAGTGAATTGAAAAAATAATGGTAAATATAATCTACAAAATGTCAATATCGGACACAAATGTACAGAGACTTGCAAACTTTCATAAACAGGATTTTTTCTCTTCTCTTTTCTTTTTGTACAATCAGAGATGTCTTCAGGACATGTCATATTGTTGAACAGAGCTTTAAACACATTAATGTTTAGAATTGGTTGTCCTGATATTTTCTTTCTTTGAAAATGGGATTTGTCATTTTCATAAACAATTGGTACCTCTACATGTTGTTTTGAAGATTGAAGCCACATCAGTTGAGTTTCTGGTAGGGTACTGTGCTGTGCTGTACTGTGTTGAGCAAATGCATGTTTTGTGGTGAATAATACATGTTTAACTTTTAACTTGTTTGTACGGATTCAAATATTGTTTGACAAGAACTTACAGTCCTTGAAATACTGTAAACAGGTATTAAACAGACAAAGTATATGATGATAACAAAGATAGATTTAATTGACTGATCAAGGAAACAGTTAAATTTTGGAACTTTTTTTTTTTTTTTTACTATGAGCATTAGTAGCCAAGTAAAGGACTTTTTTCTTACCATATAATATTCCAACCTTTTAAAACATTAGAAGAGAACATGGTAGTTTGAAATGGTCCATGTAAAAGTCAATAAAAGAAATGATAAAAAAAATTGCCAGATTAACTTCCAATGTAGTTCGAAGTAAATCTGGCAATAAGTTCAATATATTGTTTGTCTTTTTATTTAAAATGTTGTGGATCTACTTATAACGTTTAAACCGTCAACTTGGTCTTTCATCAGAAATTTGTACTATCCAACGCAAACTTGTAGATTGAGGCAATGATACAAAATATGTCACAGGGCTGCAAATTTACGGTTCTTAAAAAACTTTTTTAAACATTTAAATGAAATTTATATTTACTTAGAGTCCTGATTTCATAACTGAGCTCAGTTTTATTCTGTCATGTACCATATTTTTACAATGATATTTCAGCTATTCATAATTTGTCTTAGTAGTTATTGAGTATATCTAATCAAATAAAACATGTTTTCTGGAAAATATTGCTTGTAATAATTTTTACTATACATACTTTAATGAAGTATCTTGTTAAGTCTTTTTCTCTTCTGTGTGAAGCTGTGAGTAGTGCTTTCCTTCCTACGTATTTTTTTTTAGTTTGTCTTGGAGTAGCATACCGTATCTCCCATCATGATTATGTTCCACTGACCATGTTATCTCTTTTCTGATGCCTTAATGAATAAAATCTCCTTGGTCCTTGCTCATCACACCAAGATTTTCCTGAAAGAAATCCAAATATGCGCACAGAAAGTAAATCTTCAAAATCATCCAATTCCACAAGTTTTTGAAGCTCCTCAGCACACAGTTAAACTACCAGTGACCTTCTAAATTATCAATATTAATTTGTGAAGAAACTGTGTGATGGATCATTTCTAGTCACAACTCGCAGGCCTGTGTATTTGTCTTACTGTTTTCATGTCCTGTAAAAAGTTAATGTGATGCTGCATGTGTGATATAATGCTAATATATTATCAAAAGTACCATCATTAGTGCTGGAGAAATTTGTGAAATTATCATTGATAATTTTGAGATGATTCACGTTTCTGCACCGATTTATAGATTTAATGCAATATGTTTATTTATTCTATGTAAATTGCTATTTTCATAGCAAAATTATTTCATAAATATAAGTACCATATTGGTAAAATCCATTAACCTAAGAGTCCTAAAGTGAATCAAAATTGTTATTAATTGTTATTTAGCACATCAAAAATAAATGATTGCCTTGTTTGGTGTGGAAACAACATTGAGGTTGAAGTGTAGTTCATTTACTCTTTACTGCAATCTGAGGTTGGAACTCAATACAGTCTGTTTGTCTTGCATGCAAATGATTGCTTTCATGATAAAGTGTCTTTTTCTGGTCTTGTCTTCCAGTTCAAGAAGATGTCATTTCTTCTTTATTTTTTCTCTGCCACATTACCTGAAAAAAAAATGTATTTTCAAAATGAAACTGAAACTTAAGCTATCAAAATTGTATTTGTGTGTTGTTGTATGATACTCGTTATGTACATATTGGGTGGCAAATCATTTAGGAGCCGTTCTGAAGATTGAGAACGTAAACCAAAAATATCAATAACATGGTCAGTGTTTGACTCATTGTTCTATAGTTATTTTACTGTTTTTGATACACATTTTTTTGATTATCTCTGTGGTAGTAAATAGAAACGTAAACATAGTTTTACACTGCTTGAGTCAACCACTGAATTCTCGATGTACTACATTGTCTCTACTTCGTTAACACTCTGTTCTGCGTTTCTCTTCACAGTCACTTAGTTTGTCGTCTCTGCTACCTGCCATGAGACTGCCGTCTTACACTGTGAGTTCCAGCAATACTTTGTCCCTTGAAGGGAATGTACTGGATCAATTTTTTTTTTTAAATCTGTACACTTTGTGAATTGATTGAACTGAACATAATTTTATGTATGTATATTCATATATTGAAATAAATATCTCAAAGATATAATTTTGTCAACACTCTTTTTACATGATGAAAATAATTAATATTGAGGTGTTATTGATACTTTTCTGGTTTGCATTCTCACAAATACAATTTCAACTATATTATTTTATTCTGTTTATTCTATGTTTTCTGTCTGTTAAGGTTTCTCATAAAAACACTTGTAGTGCATTTCATGCAAGTGGCACATCATCATGCTAGGTTCTGTCTCATTTGATGACAATGTTTTAAATGTAATTAATTTAAGTTTAATTTAAAATTTCCTTTACAAATCATTTTGAAATTAAAATTTGTGTTAAATAAATGTGTTCATACATATTTGAATTACTATATTGTGAATGGTATCATATTGAATCACAGAATGTAATCTGTTTTCATAAATTGAAAAATTTTGTTTATAATTAGTAGTTACATCAAAAATGTTGATGAGGTATTGTCTTTAAATGTTCTTTGCTTGTGCACCTGTATTGTCTCACTGCCCTTTTCTATAATTTGTTTGCTTGGTAACATGCTAGTTGTATAGCTTTCATTCTTATTCGTTTAATGTTGCATATTCGTGTACTTATTTCCAATGATGCTTTTTGATGTTGCTTTTTTTTCAACTAATGAATCTCTGACAAACAAATCTTTTCTTCTCAACTTACTCGAGCAACAACACGTTTCATTTAATTTTTCATCAAGATATTTTTTATTTATCTAAAAGAAAATAAAGAAAATACTTCATGGTATGAGTGAGAGGTAAGTTTTTGAAGTAGTATTTTGTGTGCAGATTGTGGGTGAAAAAAACAAACATTTTTTAAAAATTGTTTTGAATAGAAATTTTTTTACACAACTTTTTTTTTGCAGGTTACTTAACAGTTGGCAGCTAGTACATCACAACTGTAGGCAGCCATCATGAAGATGGATTAATATTAATTAACCTATTAATTGTATTGAAGTGGTGCTTTTAATTTTCTACAGTTGTCCAATGCAGTGTGTATGTTGGGCAGGAAATCTGCCAAGTGACTTGAACCAATAAATAGGTACGCTAGCATTAATATTAATCACAAATAATAAAGAAATGACATGTAGAAGCAATGTTGTATTGTAAACAGACTTAATATTGTGAAGTTCCTTGACCCATAAGACTGCTGTAGACCCAATTTGGCTATCAAGTTTTCTGGGTGAATGTGAGAGTAAAGCTTGCCTGTTTGTGTCATAGTGACTACAGTAATATATGTTGTACATTATGTATGTTGTAAATAAAGCTCAATACTCACCAACTAATGTTAGAGAGTTTTATTATCCTTGGAAAAGTATGAACAACTTATCAAGTGTTTCTTGTTGCCACTTGCATGGAATGTCATCCTGGGATATAAACACATTTGATTCCTAGAGTATTATGTAATTAAGAAAAAAAAATGTGTTTTTGGAACAATATATCCTTAGATAACTGGAACTGTAGTTCTTGAGGCGTTGATAAAAGTACTCATGAAATTTAATATATTGGATGTTTATGAAAAGGAGAAGAGGGAGTAGAATCAATGACAATCACACAAATTATTGGTTTTCAATGTGCTTCATTAGTTCACTACAAGTGCTTGTGTACAGAAATTTGAATGTACAGGAGGTCAACTACATTAATTATCACAGAACAGTGACAAGTACTTTGTGCACTCCTATTTCTTTTCTAATTTAAATTCTAATAGATAAGGACAATGCATTCATTTCTTATAAATAATATAATGACAAACAATTTTTGTCTGATACTCTGAATTCTTTTTGTCCTATAGGTTTATCTACACATTATATCAAATGAATCTACTATTTACATGTATGAAACTAAATGTGTAGGATATAAAAATACATCTGCTACTTAATCAGAGCTCACAGACCAGTGTGAGCTTAAGCAGGTACCAAATAGTTAGCTGATACACAGTGGGGACACAAGCACAGACTAGCCACATGCTATCATGTTGAGATTTATCTCTGCTTGACATGATCAGAGATGAGGAGAGCCACTGCAGCAGCACTCCCAGTGACGGCAGCTGTCAGAAAATCTCCATCAGATCTGCAAGAACAAAAAAAATATCAGAGTAATTATTGGTGAGCTCATATGAAAACACACAATACAAATTTAAAAAAGTAAAATTTGTGATTACTCAAAACGAACTGAATGACTGAACTAGTATGGTTCTAGTATGATAGTACTGTCACATTTTCAAATTAATATTTTGCCATTTTTTTTTTATTATTATTAAATTATTCTAATATTACTCTAGTATTTTAAAAACCAATTTAGTAGAGGAGACGTTTCCACTGGAGGTTATTTTGTTAGGTACCATACCTAAACAGTGAAACTTTAATGATTGTTAAAAGCAATTTGTAGTCATTAAATAAATTATATAGTGATGTAGAGTTGATTTTAAAGTAAATAAATTATTACACTAATGAAGTTTTTGTTCCAGTGCACCAATAATACTGAGGGCGCAATTAGGCTGTTAAAAAATACAGATTAAAAAATATTTATATTATATAATGAACAAATGCATAATAACTTCATGAATAGTAAAATGAAATATGATATTCCTTAAATGTGCAGAGCTCTTGTTCCATTAAATTAAAGACAAAGTTTTGAAAATATTTAAAAATAGAAAAATATTAAAAGTTTATGTTGTGTTGTTTTTTGTGCTATGATTTTCTGATATTTAATGGATAGAAATTTTAATTTCAGAAATAAGAAAAAAGATTGAATATAGATTTTAAACAAATCTTCAAAAACAGTTGAAAATTTTGAGTGAATAACAGAAATAGAACTGCCAAACTGGATTACAACAGTAAATGTAATAATTAACAAGAGAGTTAAAATTAAATCTTTAGAAATGCCTGTGATAGGAAAACGTTCAGCCCTCACAGAAAGTATGTGGATTCCCTTTACGGTTGGGGGCCCCACTCTGAGAATTTTTGTCTCATTCTGTAGAAGAGGCACTTTCAGGTGTTTAAGAAATGGGTTTTTCACCCATAATGAGCAACTTCCTTGTACTCTATAAAGTCAATTCCGATGCCTAAGCTATCAGAGAATTATTAATGCAACTCCTTGAGTTTTAATCAATACATTCAAACAGAAAATGTAATGCAATAAGAAAAGCCAAATTGTTATTAAAATTATGTTATAATATGTTCATGTTTTTATAAAATGTTCATGTTTTTATCAAATAGCCTTTTTCTGTGACATTGATGTACTTATTTTTTTCTTGATAAAAGAACTCTCAGGAATGTAAATGAAGCAAACTTAATTGCTACTATAATGATGATTCTTTGAAATTCCAACAAAATCTCACAATAGAGTGGTTAATATTTTCTATAAATTAATTTTCAATAAATTCTTTGCCAATTAATGTGAATAGTAAAAAAATAGAATTCTGTCCTTTGATCTGTTGGTTCCAAGTATCTGTTGAGGAACATTAGGTATTTGTTACAAAAACTTTGAAATAGAGAGGAAGAAACAGAAATAATAATAATATGAAATTCAAATACAAATGCTACTTGACTATTTAATGAAATATCAATTCATTACCGGCAGTGTCTCGTCGGTAAGTATTGGAAATGCATTGATTAGGTTTGCAATACAATGAAATTTGAAAGTGAAACAGTGATTCTTTTGTTACATTTTCAAAGTATGTCTATGACCAAAACTGTAATTTTATGATATGCAACCATATTTTTATATTATACATTGTATAATTTTATTTAGAGAGTACCAACTAACTTAAAAAATATTGAAGTTAAGTTAATTTACAAAATGACGCAGCAAATCAATGAAATGGAAGGTTTTTCTAGGCAAACAAAATTGTATAACTATGTCTTATTATTAAGTGTATACGGCAAGACTGAAAGCATTCAAGTGAATGGATGTATGAGGGAAAGTAGCACTACAAAATATTCTAATCTCTCAAATATTGTATCTCAGTCTATTATATAAAAGTGAATGTATGTATGTGTATTATCTAAGTGCCCAGTAATATTTGAATTCCAGGAGCGATTGCTCCCAAATTTTAATGAATAATTTTGAGAGACTGGAAAAATACATAGGGTGAGAGATTCGAAAATGTAACTTCGAAAAAGAAGTGTTTTCTGTTTTTGATTTTTTTAGTTTAAAGCGATTTTTAATACATTTGGTCCTTGTGGGCAGAAGGCAGAGAAGGCAAGGCAGACAGTGCAGTTGGAAATACATGTTTCTGCAATGCTGGGTTAATTCATTTTTTTTAGGGAATAAAAATGTCCGAAATAACACAATATACATTACCGTTTGTGTTGTTTCTCTTCCAAGCCAGAGAGTTGAACTTCTGGGCATCCAGAAGACTTCTGCTCCTACACAAAAATATATATTTCATATAATAAATAACATTGGAAATAAGTAATCACTAAAAAATTTTTTTAAAATGTACTTACCAGAAAGTCATTTTCATTGTGTCCCTGAAGAGACCAAGGTGCAAAACTTTCCAGTATTCTAAGACCCAGAACTGTTAATAGAATCTCAGATATATAGCCATGGGCCACCTGCACTTGTGAAAACAATGTATCAGTATTTAACATGGAGAAATTGAAAGCATCATTTTTCTTCAGTAATAAACTCTCACGTTGTGAATCTATTTTCACTTCTCTCTCACCACTTATTACATTTTCCGTTGAATTAAGAGTCCCTGCTGCATCACTAAACATAGGAACAATAGTAGCCTCTTCATCAACAAAACCAAAGGCCTTCATTTCAACCCTCCCGTTTTTCGTGTCTAGGAAAAATTCGACTAAACGATCAATTTCAAAATTTTCAGTCTTATACTTTACGTATGACTCCGAAGCCAAGACAGGTCTGACAAGACGATTAGCATCCCATCGATCAGCAGATCGCTCGCTTCGGACTAGCCTGGCGGTTTCTCGTCGCTCCATACCAGATCGAACTAGGCGGTCGGCATCCCGTCGCTCAGCAGATCGCTCGCTTCGCTTCGACCTAGCTGGGGTTTCTCGTCGCGCCATATCCAGATCGAATAGGCGGTCGGCATCCCGTCGCTCAGCAGATCGCTCGCTTCGGACTAGCCTGGCGGTTTCTCGTCGCGCCATACCAGTCGAACTAGGCGGTCGGCATCCCGTCGCTCAGCAGATCGCTCGCTTCGGACTAGCCTGGCGGTGTCTCGTCGCGCCATACCAGATCGAACTAGGCGTCGGCATCCGTCGCTCAGCAGATCGCTCGCTTCGGACTAGCCTGGCGGTGTTCGTCGACCAACGGCAGATCGAACTAGGCGGTCGGCACCCGTGCTCAACAGATCGCTCGCTTCGGACTAGCCTGGCGGTGTCTCGTCGCTCCATGGCAGATCGAACTAGGCGGTCGGCATCCTGTCGCTCAGCAGATTCGCTGCGCTTCGGACTAGCCTGGCGGTGTCTCGTCGCTCCATGACCAGATCGAACTAGGCGGTCGGCATCCCGTCGCTCAGAGATCGCTCGCTTCGGACTAGCGTGGCGGTGCTCGTCGATCCACGGCAGAATCGAACTAGGCGGTCGCACCCCGTCGCTCACAGATCGCTTGCTTCGGACTAGCCTGGCGGTGTCTGTCGCTCATGGCAGATCGAACTAGGCGGTCGGCATCCTGTCGCTCACGCAGATCGCTCGCTTCGGACAGCCTGCGGGTGTCTCGTCGCTCCATGGCAGATCGAACTAGGCGGTGTCGGCATCCGCGTCGCTCAGCAGATCGCTCGCTTTCGGACTAGCCTGGCGGTGTCTCGTCGCTCCAGCAGATCGAACTAGGCGGTCGGCATCCCGTCGCTCAGCAGATCGTTCGCTTCGGACTAGCCTGGCGGTGTCTCGTCGTCCACGGCAGATCGAACTAGGCGGTCGGCACCCGTCGCTCAACAGATCGCTCGCTTCGGACTAGCCCTGGCGGTGTCTCGTCGTCCATGGAGATCGAACTAGGCGGTCGCATCCCCGTGCCTCAGCAGATCGCTCGCTTGCGACTAGCCTGGCGGTGTCTCGTCGATCCACGGCAGATCGAACTAGGCGGTCGGCACCGTCGCTCAACAGATCGCTCGCTTCGGACTAGCCTGGCGGTGTCTCGTCGCTCGCATAGCAGATCGAACTAGGCGGTCGGCATCCCGTCGCTCAGCAGATCGCTGCGCTTCGGACTAGCCTGGCGGTGTCTGGTCGCTCCATGGCAGATCGAACTAGGCGGGTCGACACCCCCCGTCGCTCAACAGATCGCATCGCTTCGGATTAGCCTGGCGGTGTCTCGTCGCTCCATACCAGATCGAACTAGGCGGTCGGCATCCCGTCGCTCAGCAGATCGCTCGCTTCCGAACTAGCCTGGCGGTGTCTCGGTCGCTCCATAGCAGATCGAACTAGGCGGTCGGCATCCCGTCGCTCAGCAGATTCGCTCGCTCGGACTAGCCTGGCGGTGTCTCGTCGATCCACGGCAGATCGAACTAGGCGGTCGGCATCCCGTCGCTCAGCAGATCGCTCGCTTCGGACTAGCCTGGCGGTGTCTCGTCGCTCCATGGCAGTCGAACTAGGCGGCGGCATCCTGTTTCGCTCAGCAGAATCAGCTCGCTTCGGACTAGCCTGGCGGTGTCTCGTCGCTCCATAGCAGATCGAACTAGGCGGTCGGCAATCCGTCGCTCAGCAGATCGCTCGCTTCGGACTAGCCTGGCGGTGGCTCGTCGCTCATGGCAGATCGAACTAGGCGGTCGGCGTCCCGTCGCTCAGCAGATCGCTCGCCTTCGGACTAGCCTGGCGGTGTCTCGTCGCTTCATGGCAGATCTAACTAGGCGGTCGGCATCCTGTCGCTCAGCAGATCGCTCGCTTCGGACTAGCCTGCCGTGTCTCGTCGCTCCATGGCAGATCGAACTAGGCGGTCGGCATCCGTCGCTCAGCAGATCGCTCGCTTCGGACTAACTGGCGATGTCTCGTCGCTCCATAGCAGATCGAACTAGGCGGTCGGCATCCGTCGCTCAGCAGATCGCTCGCTTCGGACTAGCCTGGCGGTGTCTCGTCGATCCACGGAAGATCGACTGAACTAGGCTGTCGGCATCCCTTCGCTCAGCAGATCGCTCGCGTCGAGTACGCCTGGGCGGTGTCTCGTCGCTCCATAGCAACTCGAAGTAGGGGTCGGCATCCCGTCGCTCAGAAGATCGCTCGCTTCGGACTAGCCTGGCGGTGTCTCGTCGCTCCATAGCAGATCGAACTAGGCGGTCGGCATCCCCGTCGCTCAGCAGATCGCTCGCGCTTGGACTATGCCTGGCGGTGGCTCGTCGCTCCATGGCAGATCGAACTAGGCGGTCGGCATCCGTCGCCAGCAGATCGCTCGCTTCGAACTAGCCTGGCGGTGTCTCGTCGCTCCATGGCAGATCTAACTAGGCGGTCGGCATCCTGTCGCTCAGCAGACCGCTCGCTTCGGACTAGCCTGGCGTGTCTCGTCGATCCAGGCAGATCGAACTAGGGGGGTCGGTTCCCGTCGGCTCAGCAGATCGCTCGCTTCGGACTAGCCGTGCGGTGTCTCGTCGTCCATGGCAGATCGAACTAGGCGGTCGGCATCCCGTCGCTCAGCAGATGCGCTCGTCGGACTAGCCTGGCGGTGTCTCGTCGATCCACGGCAGATCGAACTAGGCGGTCGGCATCCCGTCGCTCAGCAAATCGCTCGCTTCGGACTAGCCTGAACGGTGTTCGTCCGCTCCATGGCAGATCGAACTAGGCGGTCGGCGTCCCGTCGCTCAGGCAGATCGCTCGCTCCGGCTAGCCTGGCGGTGTCTCGTCGCTGCCATGGCAGATCGAACTAGGCGGTCGGCATCCCGTCGCTCAGCAGATCGCTCGCTTCGCGACTAGCCTGGCGGTGTCTCGTCCGATCCACGGCAGATCAACTAGGCGGGCGGCATCCCGTCGCTCAGCAGATCGCTCGCTTCGGACTAGCCTGGCGGTGTCTCGTCGATCCACGGAAGATCCGAACTAAGCTGTCGGCATCCCTTAGCTCAGCAGATCGCTCGCTTCGGATAGCCTGGCGGTGTCTCGTCGCTCCATCAGCAAGATCGAACTAGGGCGGTCGGCATCCCGTCGCCTCAGCAGATCGCTCGCTTGCGGACTAGCCTGGCGGTCTCTCGTCCTCCATAGCAGATCGAACTAGGCGGTCGGCAGTCCCGTCGCTCAGCAATCGCTCGCTTCGACTAGCCTGGCGGTGGCTCGTCGCTCCATGGCAGATCGAACTAGGCGGTCGCATCCCGTCGCTCAGACAGATCGCTCGCTTCGGACTAGCCTGGCGTGTCTCGTCGCTCCATAGCAGATGCGAACTAGGCGGTCGGCATCCCGTCGCTCAGCAGATCGCCTCGCTTCGGACTAGCCTGGCGGTCTCTCCCGTCGCTCATATTGCAGAATCGAACTAAGGCGGTCGGCAGTCCCGTCGCTCAGCAGATCGCTCGCTTCGGACTAGCCTGGCGGTGGCTTCGTCGCTCATGGCAGATCGAACTAGGCGGGTCGCATCCGCGTCCGCTTGCAAAGC